GCAATCATCCTAAAGAGCAGAGGAACATTCAAAACGGCAGGGGGTGTACACAAGGACGGACATCAGCTTGCATTCCCTGATGCACACATTCACGCTTGTCCACCTCACACTTCCATGGCATCTTACCCCCTGCAAATATTGAGGCATTTGTGGCAAATATGTCGGGGGTGTGAATCACAAACGGATCCTCAGAATGGAGTTGAGCAGAGCTAAGCTCTGTGCTATTGTAATCCAAAATGCATTTACACGCACACATTTTCACCTCTAGAAAAATAAATCCCCAGAGTGGTTGCATGCATTTTGTTTGCCTCCTGCAAATGTCACACGCTTGCTTTCTCCCATTATTATTCATTTCACATGGCCTGGACTGGTGGCGCTCTCTTCGCCTTCTTTGGAACTTGGCCGAGGGATTTAAACCGATTCATCGAGGCTTCATGGGAACCCTAAGAAACCTACCCCAGTGGATGTTCGGGAAGAAAGAAGCATCGTTCTTTCAAGCTCCCCAACATTCCACTGGAGGGAAGCCCTGATTATTCGGGCGAGGAAGTGTACTTGGGCACTGGCCCAGCAGCCATGCGCAACGAGGAATCCCGTGCAAGCTTATGAACAAGTTGCAGGAGTGAGGGGCATTCCACTCTTTTGTGTTCCGCACATGAACTAGTGGCTCTTGGAGGCGAGATGCTCCCTCCGCTGCACCTACCATGGAAATTCAGTGAACTAGCAAGAGGGACCGAGATCCTCCATCCCTCCGCCAGCCAGTGCCAAGCAAGCTTTTTTTTTTGTTTTTAAACAAGCTAATAACTCTCTTGAGCTTATTTACAAGGCTGGATCAGTTTATATTTGCTGTGTACGTGTGTCATTAATAAGCTGCACCCTGCAACTATTTTTGGGATGTGATGAATATTAGGTTTCTTCTGTGCTGGCGTTTAACTTCTAATCCAGCTATTTCATGCTGAAAAATGTGTGTTGCTTGTTCAGCCATTTCCCTTCCACGAGGAAGTTAGTGCTTTTCTGTCACCAGTAGGTTGGTCTACCAAATGCAGTCTTACTAGAAAAGACTTTGTAACCTCCATCAGCTGTGCAATTGTGATTATGAATAAAATGTATGTATTTTAAACGAAACAAAGACCTAAAGAAAGGCCTGTTAGTTTGACTGCATTTCATAGCACCGTCCGCATTTTAAATGGTCTCCTGCTAGCAAACTGGTAAGAAATGTATGGTTACTGGTTAAAAGAGGCTTTCCATCTGCAGCCGTGCAAGAGGCCTCTTTTTAAAGAAAATCCAGTATTGCAGTTAACTTAAAACACAAGGGGGCCTTTAAAATCTCTCTCGCAAAACAGGTGCCAGCGGAGGAATGGGGGAGAAAATCCAGCCCCTGGTCGGCATTTTTCATTTTAGCGCTGCCTCAGAGTCTTCCGTCTGGATCTTAAAATACTTAGCCCTTATTTTGCCCAGGCTAATTTATGGTTTCACCTGTTCTTTAAGCTTCCATCTGCTCTGTCTTAAGAGTATTGATAGCAGTTGTCTGGGCTGTGTATGTGCATGTGTTATTTTAAATTAAACAGGTTGCTGTATAGAAATACGAGCACTGAGTTTCGTCATGGTGGAGGCAGTAGATGCGTCTATGATGCCTTTGAACTGGAAACTCATTTTTATATATCAGCTTAATCTTCAGGATTGCTGCACAGCATCCATTAGTCTTCAAGGAGAACAAGTCGGCTTTAGCTGCCCCATCACACATGCTTTTAATATTTTTCCGCAAACCAATCTGTGAGACGGACTAATATTTCATGGCTCCACAAAGTGTTGCTTAAAAGAAATCAAGTTTATCTGGTCAGTTTTTAAGCCTGTCAAAACATATTTTCATTCACTGCAGCTGCATGGTTGATACAGGAAAGATGAGCTTTGCTGGTGCAGAGCTCAGGTTGAAAAATAAAGATAAAAATCTGCTCCAGACATCTGGAGATCCTTAAATGATTATTGGTTGGGGTAGGAAAAACAGCTCAGACCAATGTCAAGCATCTATAAAACTAACTCTGTTGAAGAGGTTTTCAAGTCTTAAAACCTGTGTCAATTAACGTTCAAATTTCTATAAAATGAACATTTGTACATAAGTCCCTGCCACAGCTACATTATTCTACACCGTGGGCAAAGGGACAACAAGCTATTCTGGGCGTTAAAATGCTATTCCTTGAACACTGGAATTATTTGTCAGATTTGGCAGTGATCTACACATCAGTAAGGGCTGTTAACAGTTTTTAAAACCTCCAATTAGGCTTTGAGGATGCCGAGTTCTGCACCTAACATTGAAAGAACACCTTGGTGCTGAACATGCACCGTTGACATTACTTTGATATGATAGAGCGACCACAGCCATTTATGTCCAACATGGTTCAAGCTACAGGAATAGTTTTATGCAGAACGTAAGGCACACTGCAGGAAGCTGAACAACACCCAAGTGAACAGTATACTCTGCCCGGTACGTTCGGACAGCTGGGCCCTGCTCCCCCCAAAATATGCACAGACCTCTCCTGAATGATCAAGGACCAGCACAAGCAACCTGGCATTCCTGAGCAGCTGCAAGGACTGCAGCAGAGTCCAAGCATGCATCCCCCCTAGGATCGTCCTCCCTCTTCCCTTAGACAAAGCTGAGCCAGTGTGGCGTAGTGGTGAAGAGCACGGGACTGGGGTTCAGGTGATCAAGGTTCTAGTCCCTGCTGAGCCATGGAGCCCACTGGGTGACTTGGGGCCAGTCACAGACTCTCAGCCCAACCTCCCTCACAGGGCTGTTGTGGGGATGAGGAGGAGGAGGAGAATGATGTAAGCTGCCTCGAGCCCTTTGTAGGAAAAAGGCAGGATATAAATTGAAAAATAAATAAAAATAAAATAAAATAAAATGCAGCAACCACACTTGGAATACTGTGTACTGTTTTGACCACCACTAGCAGAGCGTTTTTAAAAGTGCAGAACAGAGCAGCCAAAATGATTCAGGGGCTGCGGCAGCTCCTGCAAAGTTGCAACATCTGAGACTGTTTAGAAAAGAGGCAAGTGAGGGAGGAAGGGCAGACGGATCTTAAAGTGTGCAGGGGATGAGGTTTCTTTCCCAGAACCCAGTGGCATCACCCCATGAAGCTGATGGATGGGAGACTGAGGAGAGATTTTAAAAATTACTCCTTGCATGAGCACAGCTAGAATGATGGAATTCGTTTCCACAGGGTGTAGTGCCTGCCAGCCACCCATTTGGACAAACAGGAAGAGTACTGGGTAAATTCCTGGAGGCGGCTTTCCCAGTCTGATCTGGAAGGGCAGAGCATCAGCCCTGCATGCAAAGGCCATGTTCCACCAGGGAACAGAGGCTCGTCCAGGGGGACCCCTGCTGGGCTGCTTGTGCAGTCCCATTCCCTGGTGCTCTCCCTAAATCAACACTCAACCAGCTTCCCTTCATCTCACTTGGCATACAAGCACACTGATAGAAGCAAATATGGCGATATTCCACAGTACGTACAGCCCACGCTTTCTCCCTGCAAGGAAGCTAAGGGATCATCTTCCGCTGGCTCTTAATGTTGTCCTCAGAAGCTGGGAAGTAGGTTGGACTGATAGTCCCTGACTGGCTCAGTCACCCAACTTTACGGCCAGGTGAGGGCTAGAACCTGGAACTCACATCACCTGGTCCAACGCACTAACCACTACTCCACACTGGCACTCTCAGAAAAAAATGATGCAGCTTCATATAAAACGAACGCAGAATTGTTTCCAAATGCAAGACTTCAGTGCCTTTTAGTGGCACAGAAACCAAGCCAAAAGAGAATAACCACAGCAGAAAAAACAAAATAAAAAAGGAAGCAGAGTTTCCATGAGTAATCCTTTTAATCCTTGAAACCACCCGCCCACCCCAAGTTGGAAGAACTGCATGCCACCTTCTGTACAGAAGGAAATCTCAGAGAAGGTGGCCAGATCTTATCAATACCAACATTGTCAATGTTTTCCACAATTCTAAAATTCTAAAAACAGACTATTCCCAACTCCTAGTTTCATTTTTTGGGGGTTTGGGAGGGAAGCCTGCACTTTCAAGGGGTTTAAATGTGCCAAACAATGTACAGTTTTAAAAACATCAAGTTATCATATGAACTAAATATCAACTGGCCAAACCATACTTTTTTTTTTTTTTAAAAAGGACTAAAACATTTAAGAGTATGCCATACCCTGAAAAATGGAGCTCTTCACCACTTAAGGAGCATATTAAACATTTCAAGGTTGATTCAGCCCCACCAACAGAGGTACAATTAATATTTTCACTTTTTAAAAAGGTACAACACACACACCAGAAAAAGAACTTCTTTTCATTCCATTGCACTACTTCAGTCTCCTAATGCATAGAAAAGTAGATTTAAGGCACAATCCTATGAGACTCTTCTCTACCTCAACTTTCATAGGATTGCACCTGTAGGTTTTTTTTCTTTTAAAGGAGGATGGCATCCAAGGAAATTCACAGCCCTCTGATGTTCAGGTAGTTTCTCATGTGCTATAGAGCCAATCATTTCAGATGTCCCATAAAATGGCCCTGACATATGGAGAACAAGTATGTATGTATCCGGCACAAACCACTGCAAGTATAAATCACAACTTTGTATTTCGACTGCCCATATAATTTCTACTTGTCCCCAATAAAAGGAAGTCCCTGCTGGAAGCCAATCCAGCATGCAGGAAGCAGGAACAGGGAATACAAAACACGTCCCTGGATGCCATGTGCAAAGGGTCCTTTTTCCATATATGCAAAAAAATTGCTTTAAGTGTATCGCCTGAGCTGAAAACAAAACAAGCAGCTGGGAATGGTCTGCCTGAGAGGATACAAGAATAACTGTGTGCATTTGAGCTCTTTTCCAAAACTTCAAGAAAATGCCCCAGAATGCTCTTAATGATAGACCAAACTAAATGTATATTTTCTGTTTTGCAGAGTTTGAGTATCCCAGACCAGCTTTTTGTGCAAAAAAGAAAACAGGCAAGTCCATAATATTTATTTAGTAGAGCAGAACAGGCTTTTAAAGCTAGACCCAAAACAGATAAACAGATGGAAGTTTAACGCACTCCCTCCCCCTTTGTCCTTCATAGCACATGTTCACATCTCAAATGTCAGTAACTACCTTGCTGTTTCAACTAATCTTGTTACTACAGAATAATGGGTTTAGCACAGGGTTCTGGGTGGCTTGAGTGCAACGGCCCACCATTGCTTTCAATGGGGCTTAAGGGTCAGTGGACATGACCAGAATAAACTGGTAAAGACTTTCCTGGAGTGTACCACTTTGGGAAGCAGGTAGAGGGTCGCATATACCATCCCTTACATTTTTGGAAGACTAGGCTAAACTTTACCGTCATTTGTTAGCATTTGATATGAGGAAAACATTCAGACATAGAAGTCATCAATTTTAAGCTTAAAGTGGTCCGAGTCAGGACTAGCATTCCAGCTGAGATTGTGCCCTTACTTTTACTTTGGAACCAAGATGTTCAAGACTGACTTCCACTCTACCACGTAGCTGAAATGGTACCCCGGGCCATAGTTGTATAGCTGTACACTATAACATATACTTTCCAATCCATCATCGACCTGTGTAAGGCTTAGATAAGGCGCAAGTTACCAATATTCGCTTGGGAGCCTGTTTTGGTGAGAGCTGTGCTAAGCAAATGTTTTCTGGGAGACCAAAGCTATGCAATGACATTTCCAGCCATGTTTGAATGCAGTGGCCAGATGTGCAGCCCTTTAGCAGCCATGCTTATTCAAGTGTAATGTCAAGAGACTGCCCGAGGTTGAGCTAGGTCGTCACAGCACACCTGCAGCCTGCTAAAAGCATTGCCCGGTTCTCAGGATGCCTGACCTGTCCTTGCATCCCCACCCCGATAGCAGGAAATCCAGCAGCAGCTTTCCTCTCACATAGTGGGTTACCCTTTGGCCTTTCCAGCCTGTCCAATGCACGGGCAACATTCTTTCAGGAAATGACTGTACCATGTATTTTGAAGAGTACAGCCTGGCATCCAGCTTGGGTGACTGATTCCTGTTTACCGACATTGGCATGGAAGTTGCTCTCCCGTGGCTGCTTCCCAGGTTTGAATGCAAGAAATAGGAAGGGGTGGTGGAATTGCAGTATAGCTGGAAGGTCAGCACCGGTGTCCGAGGCCAATTTAAAGCAGGCTGACCTGTCCTTTGTATTTCTTCCACCTGCTTTCTCTATTCCACTAGGGGGAAGGCCAGATTTGGGGAAGAGCCCTATGCCACAGATAGCTATGAAGCATAAAATTAATTCCCAGGTTATGAGGCCAGGCTGACTCTGATGAGACCATTTCAGCTGCAGTCCAAAGCACTTGGCTGTGGGTTGCATCAAGATTTAGATGCACTCCAAAGATCTAGGAAGACAGTGAGAGTGCATCTGCTTATTCCTTTTCTGAAATCAACTTTTATTTGGCTCACCAGAGCCTATTTCGGTTTGGATGCAGCCAGTAAACAGGTCACACAATCACACTTTGGAAGCACTGCATGTTTAAAGCCAGGAGTAGAAGAATCACGTTTGTAAGCTTAAAGTGACCGGTCCTTCAACCCCATCCCTAAAGCACAATGAAACTGGCATCCCAGACTAGTCTGCTGGTTCCCTGTTTGGGCTGGTTCCCACTTTGCCACCTCGAGGTACAGGAATGCTCTCCAGGGTCAATATCCAAAAGAGTAATTAGGCTGAATCAGTAACTTTGGCTGGATCATACCCAATCCTGTTAAACACCTGGCTTTTATGAGGAGAGAGTCAGACGCCTGCTTTGTGGGCTGTATGATGCCCACGATTACAAAGGAAGACGAGATACCGGCAAGGTTTGCGTGTGGTGTTTTTGTGTAATCTGTGCTGTAAACTGTATTCTGTGTATTGCTGAACAGTGCTAATGCTAATGTAGCAACAATATTTCAGAGGTAGGCGGCAACATAGTGTACACCCCTCCCTTCAAGGCTGCCTTGGTCTTTTATTTTACAATCTGCACATTGACTAATAACCCAGAAATGTGTTCAATGCACAGGTAACATCAAAGGTAATTTCCCATTTAGCAAATTATTTGTGCTGTTATTAGTGTCATCTCATTCTATAGTCAAATGGACAGCTTACAAAAACTTGGTAAAAAAAATATGATTTTGTCCCAGTTAACCAATATGCTAAACAAAGGAGCAGATACAACCTGTATCCCCCACCCCTCAACTTCCTTTAATAAGAAAATCATTAATGTTCAAATATGAGCAGATACAACCTGTCAAAGTGCTTGGCTTTGATTGGATTGTAGCCATTCCATATGACACAATCTTGGGATTGCATTATTGTTTAGAGAAGCCGATGGAAAAAGGGGGTGATTTCTAGTGTTACTGGATGATGAATAAGGGAAAACCATTGTTAATAAATTGTGGTGCTTCTCTAAATTATGACAACTTCTCCCCTACTGACTTTGTAAAATATGCGTTCCATTAACACATTTTTTTCATCAAGAATGGCCAGGAGGACAGTGGAGCAGCGCTCTTAAAAAGATTAGCACGGGAATTGCACTGAGCATGACAGACATCAAAAGAAGGTGGACAGTTTTGCTTTTGCCCTTTGTCCTGAGTCTCAGAAGTAAACATATCTAATGGATAAAGAACAAAGCAGGAGCCGAGGGTTCTGAAGCAGCAGAAGGCTCTGACTGAAGAGGAGGGTCGCCCCGAGTTATCCCACTGCCAATAAAAGAGGTACATCTTGATTGCACGGACTGAGTATTTTATCAGTCCATCAGGAGAATGCAGAAAGAGGATAGCTGAGGATGAAACCGGCAATTACCTTTTGATGGACACATTGACTGGCAAGGGACTAGGGTCATGCAACCAATCCCCTCGGGAAGACACAGAGAAATATAGGGTCCTGCATTGCACCAGGTGGGTGGAGTGTATGGACAGGCTAGGAGACTAACTCACCCAGCAATTCTTGCATCTTGCCACCCTTTGGAACCAGGTCTACTTCACAGTTCGCTCCGGAAGCAATAGCTATGTGCTGATGTTAAAAGACGAAATTGCCCAGTTTCTACCACACGGGGTAAATCTTCCTATTTACGCAATGCTGCTAGTACCTTTCCGTCAACTGAAGATGTCATAAGTCAAAAACACAATGCAATGGGGCAGATTAAACATGAATTAATTGCTTGTTCTTCTTGAGAGAGAATTAGAGAACAGAGAGGAGAAGTTCTGCCCTGCTCCGAAGCTGCAAAACTTTACAGACTAAACATATCACATCAGGGTACCTGACGTAAAGAGTTACTGGCTCCATGCTATGAGGGAACCATGAAAGAATTACTGTAGAGCCAGCATTTCAGGTTTAATTTTCCCCTGCCTTCTTACAGTTTGCAAGAATTCAGACCAGTTAAATGCCCAAAGCACCTTCAGTTTTTGAATCGTGTTTGTTCACAAATGTGATTGAACTTCCTGGAACAACAACAACAAAACAAAACAAAAAAAAAGCAAAACATAAACCATTAAATATTGCATGGGGGTAACATGGAATTCTTTTAACTTAATGGTATAACTTAATGTCACAGTTTAATAACCTCCAAGTACCTTAAACCAAATAGCTAGTTCAGCCTTCCTGACCTGGTGCGTTCCAGATGTTTCTGAAGTCGACTCCCAGAATCCCAGACAATTAGTCAAGCTAGCTGGGGCCGACAGATGTTCTTGCCGGTCCACCAAGTGGGGGGCAGCTAAATTATCTGATCCATAGATTCAAGAACATCTCTCTCAGTTTTTTTAAGAATATGTATCATACCAACCCACACTAAAAAACAACCCCACACCGCCTCGAACTTTACAGAAACTAAAAATCTTTAGCACCACGTATTCTGCTTTTGCCCGGGGAACCCTAACCCGGAGTCTGAAAAACAGGCAAGTTTTTAAGTTCCTGCAGAGAAGTTCCCAGGGGGCGGGGGATAACTCACATTGCATGGTGGGCTTTCACCTGAGTCCGGCAGTTGCGCCCCCAGTAGCAATCAGGACGGGATGTGACAGCCACTGTAATGGAGATAAGCCCGTTAGATGCCTCCCTGAGGTTAACCAAACGTTGGCAGAGACTGGGGGAAGGATTATTCCACTGATGCAACAGGCATGTATTCACCATTCTAAGCTGCTTGACATGGAGGGCCATATGGAACTGAAACAGATGCTCAGCTGGGGGACCAGGCAAAATGTGTCTTTAAATCATAGATGACTTAAGGCTATCGCGGTGGCTGCCAGGCCACAATGGATGGGATGTGGGTGATTTAATGGCGGAGCTTAAAAACAATAACTACCAGGGATCTGTGCAAATGGATCAGAACGCATTTGCCATGGAAGAATAAGCTGCTATGTAGGAGAAACAGGATTCTAAATGCCACAGAACCCCACCAACGCCACCACACTGAGCTACTCCGGGATGAGACATCTGAAGGAGGGTGCCTGGCATTGCATACCTGGCAATTCAGCCATGGGAATGTTTTGCCTATATTGATAGGCGAGTTCTCGGAAGCTGCGGAGGCCGCAACAGTAACACAGCACCGTTTCTCCAGTAATTCGGTAATCTGGAAGGAAAGAGAAAACAGAGTTGCTGGTGGACAAATGTGAAAAGGTCACTTCACAAAGTACCGCACCAAAGCTGCACTGCCTCCGAGCTGGCAGGCTGGCTGACTATTACGGCAGCACAGGAAGTCTTCTTCCTCCTCCTCTCAATTTCTCTTCCTGAGCATCAACATACCTAAAACGTCTTTCAGTAGAGCTGCTTTACACAATGATATTGTGTTGCCTCCCAAGCCATTTTCAAGGTTTTTCCATCAAGACCACCTCCCTCCCCCATTTATTTTACCTTGCATAATCGGCTACAACCACCTGTACTTTTCATTTCACATTTTACAGCCAAAACATTCTTGTTATGTGCTGCCCAACTGTCTCTGATATTTTATGTTCTCCAAAATATCCTATCCTTGACAGCCTTGCTCAGCTCTTGTAAAGCAAAATATCCTATGTTTCTCTGTTTTATAGTTCCTTGATACACTTCCTTTAATATTACTTTGTTGGTCATCCTCTGAGTCTATGAAATTTGTAACCACCTGCAATAAATCCACATTTCAATGCTTCTATCCTTTTTAAGATAGCCATGGATATTCCTGCAATGGGAGAAAAGTAGAAATGTACCACTGGTCTTGTATCGGAATCATCAGGAAAGGAGAACCCAAATGACAATCTAAGTAATAGAACCTTGAGTTGCTGCCGAAAGGTGTTGGACACAGAAGTGGGTTAATGCCACAACACACGGCTGGCTGCACCTGTGGGACCACTGCCTAATAAGCACATCTCTCCTTCTAGCCTGCTGTCGCCTGCTCCAACCAGCAGCAGTTCTTCTGGAGCTTTCCCTACTTCACCCTTGAAATGGGCGATCTGGAAGCTGAACCTGCAACTTGTGCAAGCAAAAAACTCCTTTCCTGCTCAGAGTTGTGGAGGAGGAAATATAGCAGGTGCAGCTTCTCACCTTTGCCTGACAACCTGCACTTTTCCTGTACAACCCAGTCCTTCACAGTTCTGGGGAATGAGCCTCATTAAAAGCAACCGTGCTTAATCTAAGGTAAACAGGCACGGAACTGCAACCCTCACCTGCCAGTTTCTTAAGTAAGGAGGCGAATGGCTCCAAATCAATCAATAAAAGTGCGTGCTTTGTGTTCAGGGGGGTCCTGGTCCTGGGGTTAGGACAGCTGAAGTCTATGGACTGCGGTGTTCACAGTAAGAAGGGACACTTTTAGGAATGAAGTCGGAAGAAATGAGGTTTACCTGGTAAAATAAAAACTCCTCTCTGAAGAGCTAGCAGACTTTCACTTAACATGTTTCTCCATGTCAGACCCCTGGATGCCAGGTAATCCTGGAAGAGAAGAGCTCCATCAGCAGGACAAAAGGCAGAGATGTACTCTGCTACCCTTGACCCTCCTCACAAAGGAAGCAAACGGTATTTTATTCTGTTTCAAAAACGCATGTAGTGATATTTGCTCTCTCACACCTGCAACCAAAACGCCCCTCTAGCCTCGCAGGGGAGACAAGTAGGACACTGTCATCAAATGACATCTAGGCCACCTTGTGCAAGCCAGACAGGAAGGACTGTCGCTTTGCAGAAATCCTGGCACATAAAAGTTCTTCTGAAACATTCCCCACCTCTATTCAGTTCAGAAAATATTAGCTGTGAAAGGAAAGATACCTTCAGAATATCCGATTCATAATTATTGCCATTCAGGACTCCATCTAAGCACTTGTCACCTAGGTTTATTTCTGTTAACAAATAAAAGAGAAGAAGGAAATGATCTTCGCTCTGAAAATATCCAAGCAGCTTTCATCTTCTTCTGCAGCGAAGATGGCTCTCAAATATTTCAATCACAATCTCAAGTTCAGAAAACTGGAAGTTGGTTTTATGGAAATAAGAAAAAGCAGCTGGCATATTAAGTGCTGGACACCTATGCAAGTGAATTGCTTCAAGGGGGGCGCCGTAAGGGTGAACCTCAGTTCTTGGTCTGGGGTGGGCAGAAAGTAGATATCTTGGACATCAACTTACTGCATTTCCCACCATTGACCATTCTGGGGTTTCCGGAAGCTGAAGCCCAAAACATCTAGAGATCTTACCTTCTATCCATCCCTGTTCTAGCGTAGTCAGTTAGATTACATGAACATCTGGGAAACTGAAAGTGGGAAGTATAGGACATAGGGCATTTTTGCTCAGTTCAGCTAGAAACCCTTTTAATGAACCTCCGTCAGCTCGAGCGGAAGCTTCCATCCCCTAATAGACTGCTCACAGAAGATCTGTACGCCAGGCACTGCTGGAATGGCTCCTTCCAATCTCCCCTTTGTGGCTCTTGCCCACAAGGAGGGAGCGATCACTGCCAGTGAGTCTCCTTCTGCATAACCTTCCTGAACCGGTAACCTCGGAAGAAGGGATGGAGATGAGCCGGGGCAGCCACAGGCTTCTCTTACGAGGATGGCTACTCTCTCATACAGAGCCTTTGTTTCCTTTGCTTTGTACACCAAGAAGAATGGTACTCAGGATAGCTGGAGAAAGCTGCCATATTGGTTAGATAACATTTGTACCAACACGCAAGATAAATGTTGACATTGCGTCCGTCAGAATCATTAATGGCAAGAGGGTGCAGAGGAGGACGGGGTGGGAAAGTGCATTAGAATAGTGCAAGAGGCGATTTAGGTGGCTTGAGAGAAGGTTACATTTCTCCACGGACGTAACAAATAAGCTTAACCGGAACAGGATGTGATGGGCCTGCTGCTTAGGAGCTGGGGACCCCATTCTTTCAGCCTCTCATGCTCGGCGTTGCCAGGTTCTTCCTGAGGGTTTTTGGGGGGAAATATTACATCACCGCAAAAGACATTTTAGACGAGGGAGCCTTCACCCTACCGCTGAATGGTGCCAAGCAGCCGAAACACGCCACCCGAGTGCAGCCCCAGTACAAGTGGCAGAAGGGTTGGAGGCAGACGGCACCTACACACACACACCCACACAGAGAAAGAAGACAGGAGTCAGTGCTTCAGCCTATCAAATGCAATGGACCCCAAATCCCTATCAGCGATCAAGAGGCGCACTGCCGTATGATATCGGTTCTGTAGGAACCGACCTTCCAGAGGAAGATGGCAAATTGGGATTTGCCATAGACTAGGCAAAGGTCAGTGTTCCCATTTTTACAGGTGAGGACCATGAAGGACAGAAACGAGTGTATGGCATAATGACAGCCATGGCAAGGATTTAAAAAATAAAATAAATAAATACTGATTATGACCTGACTTGTGTGAACTTCTGGCCTCTTTCATGTTTCAGAATCTCACATGTACAGTAACTCAGAGGCAGACCTGTAGTTGTACCTAGAATGTCTGGCCCTTGGGTGCAATGGAGAGTTGACCCATTGTCACTACCATACCATATTGCTCTTGGGGAACTTGGCACAAAAACAAGGTAGACCCCACGAGTCCAGAGGCTGCCCTCCCCAGCATACGGCACGGAAAGCCCGATTCCCTTCCCCGAGTCACACACTCGGACGATGGAAAGCACTGCTCACAGGACGTCAGGAGGGAGCAGAGACACTCTGCCGCCATAAAAGGACATCGCTGTCCCGTCAGCCATGAAGGGGCTGCTCTGGCCATTTTCAAATGTCTCGGACGAGAGGGAGGACCAAAAACTATGCGGAAGCACAGCTTGCTTCAGCAGGTGAGATAACGTTGCACTGCAGTGCTGCGCACCCACCTCCGGCAGGAGCGGGCGGCTACACCTTGCCCCACCTGCAGAGGAACATGCGCCGCTCGAGGAAAGGAAGAGCTCTCCTTCCCTCCGCAGTTCCTCAAACGGCACTCTCCCCCAGAAGCCCTCGAATGCATTTACTCGTGAGAAATGGCCACCCACTGCCCGAGTCCCAAAGGGCTTTGCAGAGTTGGACAAAGTATCTGTTTGAATACATGACAGCTTCTTGTAACGGCTCCGGCAGGTACGAATTTAACAGAAGCACACGGATCGCATGGAGACGCGACATTTGAGCCAATGGAAAGCCCATTGGCAGGAAAGGGATGAACTGAGGTTTGCATCCCGCACGAGGATGGCCGGCTTACATTGTTGAGGAGCGATGTGCGGATTCTGTTCACGCTCTGCTCTCCGGTCTGGCATTGGCTGGAAGCAGCAAGTGCATATCACGTGACTTCCCTGAGAGGGACACACATACTCCTGGGCAGCTGGGGAGTCAACAGACAAGCAGCACAGACAAGGTGAGTGCTGCGGAATCTCGGGCGTGCCAGGACCAAAGGACACACATGGTTTCCTGCGCCCACCCCCGATTTCAGACTTTTATGCCTGGACGGCAGCCTCGTCGTCATTCGTCAGGGTTTAATTTGAAAATCTTAGCTCCCAACCTCTGTTCAATGCTGAAAATTCAGGTAGGCCCTGAATTGCCAAAGTGTGCCAAAATTAAAGAATGGCTTGCCCCCGAGTATATACAGCGTGCGAGGCCAGCTTGATCTTATGCATTTATCAAGTTTTCATCATATAGTTCAGGAAAGCTTTTCCATCTTATGCAATATATTTCAAATATTCAGAGCTTACATGCATGCAAATAAGCATATTTTCAGCCTGTTTCTGCTCCCAAATTATCTTGTGCCAAGTCAGGCCTGAACTTTATCTTTGTGGCCCCTCAAGAGTGTCTCCAAAGTAAAATTCAGCCCCCTGATTGAAAAAGGTTCTGCAACCTGGTATAAGACCATCTTGGAAAGGAAACGCTTCCCCCATCCCCCACTGACCATTACCAGTAACTATGGAAGTATGTGGGAGTATGAACTGATGCTAAAGATTGGCCTGCAACTGAAACAGCACTTGGCTGGGAGGAACCCAACTCCAGCGCGTGTGAGAAAGAAACATTGAAAACCAGGACTGGCCATGCTAAAACCAACATGCCCTGATCTTGCTCAGGTCCTTCAAACCCAGCCTCGCTTTTTCAGATGCGAATGGCACATGGTCTTAGATGTGGAGAAGGAGGCTTTTTTGGAAGCAAAGCTCCTGGCAAACCAGAATGTTCCCTATCCCTGGAAGCGATCCTGCACCGCACTGACCTGCTGGAAAGTTGGCAGAGGTAGAAGGTGCATCCCCCAACGCTTGCACTGCTTCAGGTTCGCCTTCCTGGGCTGGGGAAGCGGCAGGCAGAACGGGCTGCAGACGGTATCCTGGACACTGCCGGCACACGACGTATGGCTGACTGAAAAGATGGACACAGTCGGGTCACTGGAAATCGCACGTGAAACCCGGAGTGAAGTCAATCCCAAACAGGCCCGTTGCCTCGTTTTGGTGGCACGAGAGCAGCGGCCTGCACCCCATTTCTAGCAAGATGTTTCTGGGAAGCTCACCAGCCAAGCACGAAGGACACACACCTGAAACACAGGTGGCAGCTTCACTTCAAGCTAAACAACACTTTGGTCTATAGTGGGCCTGATCGCTTAACTTCTCAACTGGAGAAGCAAGACAGCTCGTCCTGCAGCCAGTGTCCATACTGACTGGCAACGCTTCTCTGCGATAGCAGGAGGGAATCACTCCAGCCCTCCACCAGCGACCGCAGGCAAAGCAGAGCTTTGGGCCCATCTTTGTGACCCCCGCTGCCAAGAATCACATTTTGGAACGTGGGCAGGAAGCAACACCCCTGTGGCAATACCGTTGTTTAAGAGCAACCACAGAAAAAAGTTCCATTGCAGCCGAACATTTGAGGACCAGGGAAAGCGCACTCACGTGGCTGTCCCCCTTGATCTGTCCCCAACACCTCATTTCTTGCATGTTTACTGCAAACAAATTTCTCTCTCTCCTCCAAGGAAACAGATCTGCAGGGGACTGAAGGCAGTCAAAAGAAAGACCTTCCTTCCATGGAACGTGATCTTAGATTAATATAAATGGCATGCTATTTTCGTTCGGTGCATTACCACAGACGTTGACCAAGTCGCAAGGAGACACTTCCTACAGAATTGCCCCCATCACACTCACCTAATATCAGAGGATTCGCTATCTACATCCGACAGTTCGAGCAAATCTTCGGAACTTCCTTCTTCGTCTGAAAAAGACCTTCGCACCTTTGGTTGAAGCATGTCTTGAGTGATTTTATTCCGGGCATCCATGCTTTGCACATCTTCTTCATTGCGGCACTTATCTAGAAACAGGATAGGACATAGAAATAGGCGCTGATTAACCCGAATGTGAGGAGGCTGTAAAACTTTCATCATTCTAAAGCTTGTTCCATAGATTGGAAAGAAACTTAAAGCACTTAGGTGGCTTCCTAGATTCCAAATCGCGTTTATGTGATTTGAAAACTTTAATGTAACAAGGATACTGGAGAGAAGGGATGCCTATGCCTATATTAGAAGGGCAGAACTTATTTCAGCTAAGGACCAAATCCCATTCCAGAAAAGCTCTCAAGGGCTGTGTCACAGCGACAGGTGGGACAAGAGAGTAGGGCAGCTTCCTTTGGGGAGGAGACGATAATTCAGATAAATCTTGTGATGGCAAGCTCTTTCATATTTAAAGATGTACGTGTTCTTTAGAATTACCTACCCACTTCTTGGAATTTAATACAAGGTCAAAATAAATGGATTCTCCGTTTCCCTTTTAAAAGTTAAAAGACGTGTATTAAAACAGTGAAAGGAAAAATGACTTCCTGAAACAAACATACTGGGTGAAGGACTTAATGAAATATTCAGTTTTTAAATGGGTGGCCTTTAGGCGTAATCTTCAAATTAATATATGGATATTTGGGGTGCCCTTGAGGAACCTATGTGGTTTTATTTTTAATAATAGCAGCATGTTCTGTGATGTAAAAATAGCTAGGGATGTATACTGTATTTGTAACGAGTGCGATCATCTTTAAATTGTGATATTTTAGTTTCTTTTATTTTTTCTTTCCCTAATGGCACAAGTTTGGTTAGGTTTTGTATTGCACAGTAATAAATGTTTAAAAAATGGGGTGAAGCCCATGCAAAAGCTGGAAAACCACCAAACGAGTGGTAATCAAGGGGAAAGGGGGCAGAAGGGGACTCTAAACCTGTCCTGATTTGATGCACAGGCGTAATGCCTTGCACCCCACTGTATGCCTGAATGAAATAATATAGCTGAAATAATGTCAGGTCCATTCCTAGTGTTCTATGCATCCATCTTCTGCCGTCTTCTGCCTCTGAAATCTCCCCGGTACACACTGTGGACTGCAACACCCTTGGGGATATTCTGGGGGTGAAGCACCACATATGCAGAGGAAACAAGGTGGCGGCAACAGGTGACTGCAGACTTGCCTGGATGCTGGATGAGATAAGCTTCCACCAAGTTGTTCAAGATATGGTTTTTGCAGATACGTTCCACTGGACAACGGCAAGTTGGACAGAGAGAGGAGCGTTCCATCCACCCTGAGTAACAGGCAGCACAGAAGGTGTGCATACAGGGCTGCAAGCTACAGAGAAAGGCAAGAGGGGGAGAAGGATGGGAGAACCATGAAATGAAGATGCGGTGCAGGATAAAATATATCTATAATTGAATACAGTATTTGTGATCTGGTAAATCATAGTTCTGCTGGTAGAAAACAAGGCCTGAGTTGTAAAATGCTGTTCTAGAGCATCTAATCAATCCATAGTTGACCAGTTTGGCACAGCAAACTGTGGTTTGATCAAACTAGAAAGTTGCTTAAACACCTGAAGGTTGGAGGAAAGGGGAAGTGTGTGTAAACATTGGACTTCCCTTCCTTCTCGTGAGCGTAACTTTAATCTGTTTCCCCCCATACCGTTCAGGAGAGAATGCTTCCTCAGAAGGTCTTCTGGGGGCAGTTTCACTATCATGTTCAAATTAGATTTCCCGTTCCGCATTCTGCTTTGTATGTGAAGCACGAGCATGGGGGACCAACGGGCCTGCCCTCTTCTGATCTAGTCTGGTGCCTAACGAAGTCCCACTGCAGCGACTGCCTTCCCTGACTGCACTGGCTGGGGCAGCGACTCGGAATGTTCAGCAGCCTGGGGAACTGATGCGATAAGGGACGGAACAGAGCGGGGTGCCTGGAGGAGTTACACAGTGCGGCAGTGGCAGGTGCTCAGGTGGAAGGGTGGGGGAAGCGGGAGGAAGGGGGTGCTAGGGAGGCCCATCGACAGGCAAGGCCAACTACAGCCAATGGTCCGAGAAAGCAGGAACCCGAGCGCAGAACGGCTATCGGGTGTGCAGAGCTGAAAAAAGGAAGACCCTGGGAAAATGGGGGCAGCACACGGGGCGTGGAAATAGAAAGGGGTGTGCGGTGTTGGACAGAAGAATGTGTGTATGTTGAGCTGAATTAAGCAGCCAGCTCCTGCGTCATAGGTTTTTAATTCAAGAGCAGTGTGGGCAGGGAACCGGGCAGCATGAGAATTTGACCCTGCACCTTATCTCCATAAAAGGGTGTGGGCTCGCCCACAATCCTTTCCTTCCCAGGCAGAGGTCACTGGGAGACAACCAGCTGAGGGAAAGGAATGTGAGCAAGGTGAGGGTCCAGAACCCCCTTTCCACTTGCCCACTGGGATGCCTTAAATCCCCCACCTCCCCTCACCCAACACGCTCACCCACCGGCATTCAGGGACCCAACAGTTCACCTGGGAGCCTGTCGCTGTCACACCAGACTTCGCGCATGACACTCCCCCCCGCCTGTACCTGACACAGTCATGCAGCAGTTCTTGGCAGATGATACAGGTGAGCGTTTCTTCCATCTTGTCTGGCTTCATATTGGCTGGCTTAGTGTCTTCGGGGCCCGTTTTAATTGCACGTTCATTTGGACTAATCCCCTGAAGGAGTGAGCCGGCATCACCATCTGGAAAGGAGCCAGTCCTGAAGACTTAAAAAGCCACCTGCCCAAGCACACCATGCGACCCCAATTCACTGTTGCACAACAATCCAGGTCCTGCCGACGGGCACAATGCTTCTCTCCCCGCCTTGCAAGAGCGGCGTGTGCATGCAGGAGACTGCCTGCCGGGCCCTTCCCTGCCTTACGAGAGGGCAGCCGGCAGGCGCCGTGTCGATCCGGACAGGCCCAGGCAGGGCTTCCAAGCGCTCAGCCTTCAGGGACATTTGGAGGGGGGAGTAGGGACGATGGGGGAGAAAACACGGCCGCTCTGGGTGGGAAAATGGCACAGGTCTGAGCAATGGGAACAGCGTATGTTGCTGCGAGGGGGGGATGGAGGGGTGGGGATCGCCAGGTGAAGGTTGCACCTCTCCAGAATACGCCGGTGTTAGTTACTGACCTCCCTTTATTTTCTTCTTAGGCGGCTCCAGGGCTGCCTCCCCATCCCTGCCTTTCTGCTTAGGTGCAGCAGATGCCGTTTTCTCTTGGTCCCCTGAAGAAATGTTGGAAGCTTCAGTATTTCCATTTGGCTGCTTGTGTTCCAGTGATGCTTCCGGGCCACGTGCTGCCAAGGCAGGCAAATCAGGCGCAGGAGTCCGGGCGTAAGACAGCGACCCTGCAGGACCGGGAGGGAAGGTGCACCTGCCTGTCACACAGAGCCGCTGCTCCTCTAGGCAGAGACAGGTAGGACTGGCCCAACTTTCGGGGGGCAGATCTCTTGGGGTGTGAAAGGCACCAGGAAAGGCGCAGCCCTGTTCATCACGCTCAATTTCAGTGGCATGGGCACAGTCAAGGGGCCCCGAGGGTGGTCTGAGGGCACAGAAGCCATCCACACTGCGGAAGCTAAGCAGGTCGGGGGCTGGCCTGAGCTTGGAGGGGAGACCTCCCGGGAGCCCCGTGTTCCCACCTGGCATTCCATAAAGGGGAACAGGTGGGATATAAATCTAAGAAATAAAAGTTAGATGCTGAGTGGGTGGACCTTTACCAGATGTCACGGGACCTCCCTGCTCAGTGGCAATGGACTCGGCGAGCGAGGTAGAAGCAGTGTTGAAGAGGTTTGATGAAGTGGATGGTTCATCATAGCAAGGCTGACGGACGGACGGCGGAGGTGCCAGTGAGGTCCCGTCATCGCTTTGCCCAGTACTTGAGGTATCTTTGGTCACATGGCACATGCTTTCAACGCTGGCTCCTGCAGTGGGGAAGCGGGTGGGAAGAGCATTGCTTCGACAGCAGGCACGGGATTCTGCACCACCAGGTGGTCTGGAAGAGGATGCCACCATCACCGCGGCTCACTTCCCGCCCACCGCAGGCTGGCCTGGAGCCGATCCCTGGACTGACTTACCTGCTGGCTCATGAGCTGGGTCCTCTTTTGGGTTCAAGGACTCATAAAGATATGCAACATCTGAAAGGAGAGAGGATGGTTTGAGCCGCTGGTCCCCAAGGGGCAGGATGGAACCTCCCGACAGAAAGCTGCGAGGAGGCGCGAACCCCTTCCCGATGCCCCTTTCCATTTCCCAAGTCTCAGAAAGGATGCAGGACAACACCCCCAGGTTCCCTCATCCTCCCAATGAGTATCATCATGACACCTACAATCTCCAATCAATGCCTTTCTTACAGCTGGAAGCTCCACTTATTATGTGAGTTATGGATTCCAAAGACTACTAAGAGCCAGTAGTTAGAACACTGGACCAGAAGAGGAGAAACCAAGGTTAAAAATCTTTGCTCAGCCACAGAGTTCACCTGGGGGACCGTGGACCAATGCCTAGATGACTTCACAGGGTTGCAGTGAAGATCAAAAGGGTGAAACACTATGGAGATCTTTTTCCCCCCAATGGAGACCTCCCTCAACATCCAGCCTTCTGGGTTTAGCACCTTCCCCTCATTGCATATTAGCATGGACTTACAGCCTGTCACACAAGCGGGAGCAGACAAACACGCTGCTTCTTAAATTTGGAGAATGACTGCATTTCCCCCATTCACGTCTTAACACACAGAGGAACACTCTCATTCGGCCTTCGGGACCGCCTGTCTTCCAGGTGGTGCCGCTCCGCCACTCCATCGCCTCCCATGCTCGCTGGAGGGGGGAGCTGCAGTGCAACACCTCGGAGGCACCCTCACTCATTGCTTCCCACCAAGAGGCTATTCAAAAAGGGCAACATCTCCTTACTATTTTCTGGCTCATTTTTCCTGTAAACAACATAGATCACATCTCCAGTCTGCAGAGGGCAAAACTGTTTCTTCACCACCTTCTGCTTGTTAATAACTGTTCCATTAGTGCTGCAAAGGAGAAATAAGAGATGCACAAGATGAAACATGGGGAGGAGTGGGGATGAATAAACAGTCAATAGCAATAAAATAAACATTAGAAGAACTAAGTGGCAGCTGGAGCATGTTTTTCTTTTCATGCTGTCCAGTTGCTGAAGCTCCCTGGACAGTTTGCAGCAATTGTAAAATGCAATTAAATATCGTATAACATACAAACAAGAAAAACACGGAATTTTACTACAGAAATTGAAAACTGAATTTAAAAGCCAAATTTAAATAACTAGGACAGGTCATTACAAGTAGACCTGTTAAAAAAGCCGACAGAACACCCTCCCCATGTGCGACTTAAGAGCTGCTAAATGTTTTGGCATAGAGGGCAAAGTAAAGGTGGCACCCGGTGGGCCTCAGTGGGAAGCTTGTTCCATAATTGGTGCCGCCACTGAGAAGGCCCTGTTTGTTTTTTTTATAATAAGTTTTATTCAAAATAACCCTAAAACAAAGAAAAACTAAAAACAACATCAGTCATCAGAAACATTGGACCTGCTGGGTCAGCCCCCACATTTTTTATTTATGATAACTTAAAAATATATTTAAATCTATACGAAGTCCTGTTTCTCCAGCCAAGAATACAAAGAGTCCCAAGTTTGATAGAAAAGAAGGCCCTGTGTTTTGTTGCCACCAACTAAGCTTCCCTCAGAAGTGGCGATCAGAAGAAGCCCTCAGACATTTCGCAAGTTGGGAAGATTGGCACAGTTTAAGGTGTGAAAGAAAATGCTGTACTTGAAGTATTGTCACTGAACCAGGCCTGGCCACAGAACAAGCCTAACCCAGCCGCCCTGCCCTGTCGCCTCACCGCTTCTTTTCCAGTCTGGTGCACCCCACATCCTTGGGCCCTCACTTCCCATCAGCTCCATCCAGGGTGGGCAATTGCCAGGAATGCTGGCAGTTACGGCCCAAACATCTGGAGGGGAACCAGGCTGGGAGAGGCTGCCCTACTGCTGGATGGCGATTGTGTGCCATATTGTCTGATGGAGCATGTTCTAGTTACAAAGGTGAACTTGAACACCTTCAGGGCCTCCTGCAGGGATCGACGGCTCGTCACCCTCCAGATGTTTGTGCCTATCTCTCCCCTCAGTCCTAGCTAGCACACCCAAAGGTGAAGGGGGCTGCAGGCCAAGACCTGTGGAGGACCACAAGCTGCCCCCCACCCCCCAGTGGGGTAGAGCAATCCCTGTGCCTGCAGGGAAGCACTGAACAGAACCCAGATGCAAAACTTGGCACGGAATTGATCCTAAAAGGCTAAACACCGTGGCTGCCATCTGGTGGAAGGAACCAGCCTACTCATGTGAGAGTATGCCTTGACTTGAGGGAAATTAGCTGGGATCAAACAGGGGAAGAGCTTTTCCTAAATTCTGCAGAAGAAACAGAACACACGTGGACTTGGATTTAACCCCACAGAAACTCTGGAATGGCCTTCCCTTGAGAAGCCACCAGTGGGGGTTCCACTGACCCAACTTCCACTAGAGGACCCAAACTTGTGGCAACCTCAGGACCAAAGAAACCATCCTTCCTGCCCTGTCCAAAGAACCGTCGCACTAGCATCACAGGGAGCAATTTTAAGGAACTGCTTACAGAATTCTCAACAGCCACCGCGTGGATATGACCCTAGGCAGAAAAGGGATGCAGGCAACAGGAAGCAATTGCCTGCAGTCAAATAAGGACCAGCGGAAACACCAGCACTGCATAAACCATTCTGCTCCAAAGAGGGAAAGGGTAGGCAAAGCTGACCTGGTATCCTCCAGTAACACGTGACCAGATTCTTCATCCACTATTATTTTACAGTGGTCTCCAGACACCAGTTTGTTGCCAGGAAAGGACAGGTCGCAACCTTGGAGACAAAAGGTTAACTATCAGGACACTTATCCTTGTTGGTTTCATGCTGCCCCGCCCCGCCTCACAGCATGCTGTCTGTGCAGCTAGGATTTCAGCTTGATCAGGCCCTCAGGGCAATAAACTCCCCTTCAGGGAACAAACATCAACAGGAGTGATGTACAAAACATTCTACTTAGTATATATCACAGCTTGTTTATTTAAATTCATTGTTTGATTAGTGTTTTCCTCAGCGGAACATATATTCAAAGCTCCTTACAAAGCCACGTTATTTCCTTCTTCCATCAACAACCTCTTTCACAAGTGGCCTTCAGGAATGTTACTCATAAAAAGGTGTCAATTTTAGGTAAGCACTAATGTCTACATTTTGATGTTTCCAACTCTGATTTCAATATTCTTCCATAATGGCCAGAAATTTCAGCTCAGCCTGTGTCTGAGAGCTACTTCAGGGGGTCATTTAATGGAAATGCTCTGAAGTGTGCGTGCTGCACAAAACATCTCAGCAGCACATAAGCAGAAAAGCTGCCTTGGAAGCACACTCACAAAAAACAGTTCACAGAAGTATTACAAAGGCCCTTTCAACAATACAGGGCTTATTTTTGAAGGACCACTTCATGTTTTGCAGAAATCTTTTTCAAAGAAAAACACATCCATAGTTTAGATCAACAGATCTGCAAACAAACAGGAAGTTAAGACAGGAAGCATTACATCTGAAGGACTACCAAGAGAAATTCTACAAATAAGGTATTGAACCCTCTCCTGCCATCTTACAGCCCCCAGGTCTACCTGAGAGTCACCTGTTTCTAGAACCATACCTTTTTTCCTGCCAATAGTGCACTCTTTCTTCAACAGCAAGACATGAGGCTCTGCTTCTTCAGCCCCCAACCGGATCAACTTTCCCCAAGGTTGTGGTTGTCTTTCCTGCTGTATTTGGCCTCTGGCTTCCGAGTGCTCCATCTGGATTTACATCTGGAGGAAGGGTGGATGAAGGAACAAAGGAAAAGTCACTGAGCGGTACTTTTGCTTCCAAATCTGTCCATGTTTATTTGGAAGTTCCACTAAGTTCAGCATAATTTTTTGTTTTATGTTGAAAAATAGAAAACAGAACTCCCTCAAAAGCAGAGACAGGACCATAGGAAACATACCTGCAGAAAAAAGTTACCTTCTTCTAAGTACTAAAAAGGAACAAAGGCTTACATTTTCACTTTCACTTCCTTTCCTGGCTTACAGTTTTTTCTTGGGGCATCCTTAGGCTTCTTACTCTGAAGCAAGTCGCATTGCATCATTAGATTATGCCCTTCCTTCTGCCTTCCCATACTGTCTCCATGTTTTGGCCTCCTTCTGGGGCTTTTTCTCTTCCCCAGTTTTTCAGCTTCTATACTCTCTGCCCCCTCTTTAAGAACAGCATCCTTTTGGGCTATCGAATTTGGAGGAGCAGCATGAATTTTGGGGTGAGAAGGGTACCTTTCTTTCCAATCTTTGCCCCCTAAGGATTCCTCTGAGCTAAGAAAAAAAGGAGGGGGGCTCAGCACCTCTACCTCCTCCCTTCCTTTTAACAAAAACAAATCGTTGGATTGACACAAAGAGAGTGGGAGGGAGGGAGGGAGGGGTTTTTTGGGGGGGTCAAGCTTTTTTCCACCTTCGCCAATCCCCTCCCCTCCCCTCCCCTCTTCAAAGCAACTTCCCTTTCGCCTATGATGGAAAGAATGGAGGATCCGAGGGCCGGGGGGGGGGGGGTTTTCCCTTCCCCCCTTTCCCCCCCCCTCCCCCCCCCCCCCCCCTTTAAAAACCCCATTCCCCTGGGCTGGGAGGAAGCTTCCCCGGGGTGCGGGGGGGGGGGGGGGGGGAGTTTTCCACTTCCCAGCTTCTCCCATCTCTGCCCCCCACCCCGCCTTTTAAGAACTACATTCCTCTGGGCTGAGATGAAGCTTCCCCCAGCTTCCCCGGCCTCTGCTCCCCCTTTAAGGGGTGCATTCCTTCGGAGTACGAGGAAGAGGAGGCAGGGGCGCCGGGAAATACCTCCGCCTCCCTCTTCGGGGCACCAGGCCGCCCAGAAGGCCTCCGCACCCGCCCGGATGCGGGGAAGGGCTGCTTCCAAGGCGGGGACGACCCCAGCCCCGCGCCCTCGCTCCTGCCCCGCGGGCGGCCCTCCCTCTCCTCGCCGACACCCAGGCCCCAGGGCGGGGAGGGGGAGGCCCCAGCCACCAGCCCGCCCTTCCTCTTCCTCCTCCTCCTCTTCCTCCTCCTCCTCCTCCCACTGGCCCCAGCGCTGCCCCCCCCCCTCACATCGCGGGGCGCCGCCAAGGCTGCTCCTGTCAACAGGCATTGCCAGCATTCAGCTGATCAGGCGGGGCGGGGCGCGCCCGCTTCCGGGACGGCCATTGGTGGGGCCCCGGCGTCACCATAGAGACGGGGCGGGGCGAGCGGGAAGGACCGGGAGGAAGAGGCGGCCGTGGCTAGAGCGCCCCCCCACGCGGAGCGGCCGGCGCCCCCTAGTGGCTCCCGGGGATGAGGATGATTGCTGCCGCTGCTGTACCTTTGGATTTCATTTATATCCTGCCTTTTTCCCTCTGGCGAGGAGCTGCAGGCGGCTCACACAGCTCCAGTTTATTCTCCGTAAATGTTTAGACAGGAACATTCCGCAGCAGCCCCCCTTCCCCGCCTGTCAGGCAGCATGGCTGGCTGGATTGATGCTAACAGAGGCGGAATCCCTTTTTTTCCTCTCTCTCTATAGGCACCGGGTGGTTCTTCAAGTCACTCAGTGGAACTTGCATCTGGTTGTATGCACAACTATAGGAATGTGTTGTAACGGGCAGGGCCAGTATGGGGTTTCAGTAGAACTTCTCTTTTCCTCTGATGACCTTCAGTGTATAAAGTGGAGTGTTGGAAGGGGACGAGCTGAGTTCAAGCTCCACTGAGCCATGAAGCTTAGTGGGAGCTTGATCGCTTTCTCGATCTCAGTGCAATCTACTTTACAGTGCTGTTGTAATTACAAAATGCAAGCTAGAGCTAGGCATGGTCTACTTGGAGGAAATGGGGAATGTGTGTTAGTGAGGATAACCAAAACACTACTCTTTCCATAAGCCTCTCTCACTTCCGACTGGGAGGAGGCATTGAAAAATGCTTGCTCCAGACACCAGCACTTCATAATCACGTTTTGGTAGAGAATTTAACCACCCGCCTCCATGTACCACACTGGTTCAAACGTATCTTAGTCTGATATTATATTGTTTTATATACTGGTATATTCTAATGTATACTATGCAACCTATATTTTGCAAATCTAAGAGGGGTCCTGGGGTTAATATGTGAAACTCATGGTGGTGTGGCTGTAACCTTTCAGTTTCTATAGTGAAAACACCTTCCACACTGCACACGGGTTGTTCAGCACAGAGTTGGAATTAATTAGTGGCGCAAATTCATTTTTAGCACTTCCAGTGTACCATGGAACTAGATATTTACACACTTTTCTCTACAAAACACTTTGCTCACTACGGAGATGCCAAGAGCTAGAAGGGCGACTTAAATGAACCCTTGCAGAAAATCGATGTTCAGAAGCCGCTTTTTCTCCGGAAGTAGTGACTTCACCTGTCCCTCTAAGTTCTTATCTCTATGACTGCCCCTTAGAGAAGGGGGCAAAAGAAACGCACACTCCACCCAACTGTAACACTTCTGGTTCCCGATTGCAGTGGCTTAGAATCGTCCATGTGCGGGGCCGGGGATTGAACGCTCACATTGGCCGTTAGACTAAAACGTTGGGGGTTTCAAATTTTTTTAAAAAAAGCCGTTGGTTTACGTGAGGGGGTCGCTCTGTAGGGTGGCTCTGGAGACTTTACAAGAATTTAGGATTTTAATTGACTTTGTTTTGAAAATAAAAGCTAGAAAGAGGAAGCGTCTCTGCCTTGTCTCAGGCCAAGCAATTGCATTTTAATTCCCTGGAATATTTTATTCTCAACATGTTTACCTGGTTTTTTTTTTTTTTTTACTCACATGGGCCCAAGCAACACGGTCTTTTTAGTGGTTGCACATCAACTTTTGTACTTACAGAGGGAGAGACATTTAATGGCTTTCTCATAGCAAAGTCTTTATAATTTTTAAAGGAGTGGTTTTCGCTCCGAAGTTTGTTTTTCTCTGCTGTATTTTCAAAACATAGTCACGCTTTTTCCCACTTGTTGCCATATCCGTAAACTTTTTACCTGCTCTTAGTTTGTCCTTGAAGTCTTGCCTATGGACTGATGTTTTTAAATATGTGGGTTTTCATTGTTTGCATTTGGTATTACTGGAAAGGTGGGGCATGGGTGTAGCTGTTCAATAATAAAATGCCAACTGCCATAACTTAGAGTGTGAAAGGCCAGCAAGCAAAATGGGAGGAAAAAGAAACTTGGGCTCTATTCCCATCCACAAGCTTGCTTCTGAGGAGGCACCTGTCGGACTGCGACCCATGTCTTCGGAATCTTTTGTGCGAATTTTTAGAAAACAGAAAACATAACATGGGAAGAGACAGCAACAATGAGAAGTGCTCTTGCTAAGAAAGGGGAGGCAGAAGTCCCCATTGCATGGAAATGTGTGGCTAGCAGCTTAGTTAGGAATTATTTATTTAAAGCATTTCTACGCGGCCCAACTGCTCCACAGCACCTCTGCCCAGGTTCATTGCGCAGAGTGAGGCTTGCTTCTAAGTAGGCGTCCATAGCCTTGCATTGGAAGGCTACAGTTCTCTAGATACGTGCCAGTGCTCTGAGCATGGTTCTATTTAAGACTTTTTTTGGCTTGGCTTCTCCATGCACCAAGAATTGCATCCCATAGAATGTTATTTATTCCCTTAAACTCTTTTTAGCCCCCCCCCCCCCACCTTCTTCCATTTAAATCTTCAATACAGTTAATAGTTCAACTGTGGTTGCAGAATGGCAACCGGGCCATGGAATCAGGATCATCTGGCCCCTGCAAAAGGATGTTATTTATTTTAAATTTTGGTATCCCACCCTGTACGGTGTCTCAGTTTTCACCTGCTGCCTGTTATTTTCTGGTCAATTCAATGGGCTGGTTTTTACCTTTACAGCTTTAAGAGGCCTTCGGTTCGCCCAGCTTGGTAAGAACCTGCCTAGTTAGTGCCTAAGAGTAGCATTTCCTCGGAGAGAAGCTCGTGTACAGGACCTCTGAGAAATCTCTTTCTCCTATATTTATTTATTGTTGCTTCCAAATTCAGGAAGGAACTGCCTATGGAATTGTCGCCCTCTTTGCATTCAGGAAGAAAATAAAGGTATTTTTTTTTAAAAAAAAACGTAAATTGCTGTTACAGTTTTAAAGTTGTTTTTGATGTGTTACTATGTTTTTATTAGCTTGTGAATGTTGTTTTCTGGATTTATGTAAGCCACTTTGGATGGTTCCAGAAAAATAGTACAGAAATGTAATAAATAAAAATGTAAAAGTGTTAATTATAAAGAAAAGGTATAAGCTAAAACAAATGAGAGTAGGTAAAAAAAATGATGTACTGGCTTTACAGTGCAATGCTATTCATGTCTCTGTAAAGTGTTTGTTTATTTGTTTATAATAATTTTATCCTGTCCAAACAATCTAATTGTCTCAGGACAGCTTACAATATAAATAATAAATACAAACTAATGTACCATCAGTTGTGCACTGCGTCTTTTTGTATTTGGCATTTTTTGTATATTGAATTTCAAATCACTGTTTTTATTGTTATGTGTTTTATGGACTGTAATTTGCTTAGAGGGCCTTTGGGCTGATTCAGCAGATAAGTTTAAAAAATAAATAAATAAATTCCCATTAAGTGGGTGTGCAGTTGCTTGAGGCTGCACTCCTAATTATATTTATGTGGGGGCTTCTGAATAAATGTGTGTAAGATTGTGATGGTCATGAACAGCTCAGTAGGTTAAGTTACTGACAAAAAGGACCGGTCTTCACACTGTGAAATTCATCAGAGAAAATGGTGGCATGTAGGCCTCCCTAAATTGAGGGGTTCAAAGCTCAGTTGTGGCCACATAAAAGCCCCATTTTTCATTTCTCAAACAAATAGAACTTCAATGTTTATGGAATTAAGAGAAAACCTTTAAAGGTGGGGCTTGCTTCCAAGTCCCTTAGGCATTTTGTAGGATTTAGCTGCACGGCTGGAATCGTAAGCATTCTTATTTAAGCTGCATTTATGGGAAATATGCAGTTGGTGGCCCTTCAGATGTTGAACTGCAGCTCCCATCATTCTTCACTATACATTCTGCTGGCTACGGCCAATGGGCATTAGAGTCCAACAGGAGTTAGAGTCCAACTTCATCTGGAGAGGGTACTACTTGCTGATCCTGATATCCGGTCGCTCTTCCATGGAATTCAGAGCAGCGTGGGCAGGTTTTCTGAGCCGCCCCCTACATGGGCTTTGGCCAGAATGAGCCCACAGCCCCTTCACCAGGCTTGCTCGATTATGGGATGTCACCCCGAGCTCGGCGAATAGGTGCGTTGGAATTGGCCCTGGTCAAGTCCCTCAGCAAAGATGCCTATATAGGATTGC